CCCCAAAACCCCAAAACCCCAAAACCCCAAAACCCCAATAGCTAACCAAATGTTGAAACATTATGCTCTAAATTACTCTGATTCGGTTAAAACTGTCAAAGATGCAGAATATTTTCATTCATTTTAGTCCAAAAAGTCATTTGGATTTTTTGTCTTGCCACTGTAGATACTCATTCATCTGAGAAATTCCTTATAGTTTAGTTTGCCTTTCTCCATAGTTTCTCATTCCATTAGCATACTTTTAAATGCAGTTGCGTCTTCGACTCCGATATCGCTACTTTCTAATACACCTTTGAGCTCTGAATCATCGATATAGCCATCTGAATTATTATCGAAATATTTGAATGCCATTTCCAACTTCCTGAGATTCTTGGCTATCTCTGCATCTAAGGTAGCTGCTAGGAATTCATTATAATCTATAGCTCCATTTTTATTGGTATCGACACTATCCATGATGGCTTGCGCATCTTCGATAGTATACTTCTTTCCTAATCCCTTATGTAATTCTTTCAAAGTGATGTAGCCATCCTTGTTCTTATCTAGTTTGTCAAAACTTTCTAACTGTCTTTTTACTTCTTCATTAGACACCCTTGAAGCTAAGAAACTGCAAATTATTTTCCTCACTTTTGAAGCATTGCTGAAATTTTTCAGTTTCTCAACATGGGTAGAAGATAACTTATTCTTTGATTTACCCAAAACAGACTTGAACCAAGGGTGTTTTAAAGCAGCTTTAGCTGTTAATCTATCATTCTCGTTTGTAAGAAGAGATCAAACTAGATCTTTGGCTTCATCAGAGACATTATCCCATTCGGGATCACCAAAATCTATCTGAGAATTAAGGATTGTTTCAAATATTTCTTCTTGAGTTTCTCCATCAAATGGAGCATATCCTGAGAGCATAAGATACAGGATTCATCCTCAAGACCACATATCACAAGCATATGAATAATTTCCTTGAATTACTTCAGGAGCCATGAAGAATGCTGTTCCTGCTCTTGTCTGCATTCGAAGTAATGCTTTTTCTCCTGTATCAGAAACCTCAAAGAATTTTCTTGATAAACCAAAGTCTATTAGCTTTATAGTCCCTGGACCTTCTTCTACACTACTAAGCATAAAGTTCTCTGGTTTCAGATCTCGATGGCAGATTCTATTCTTATGACAGTACCAGATAGATTGAAGGATTTGCTGAAAGACACTAGCTGCATAACTTTCATCAAAATGGTCTGCCTTAGCTAGGTGATCAAACAACTCACCCCCTGCACAGTATTCTTGCACTAAATAAATATTTTCTTTATCTTCAAAATATCTGAAAAGCTTGATAATGTTTGGATGGTCTAATGTCCTTAAAGCCTGGATTTCATTTTTAAACCTGACTGGATTATTTTATTTTATCTTTACTCATTTTCTTAATTGCTCTCTCTTCACCAGAGCTCTTTTCTTTTCCCTTGTATACAATTCCATAAGCTCCTTCACCAAGTTTATTTGCCAAATTCATAAGAATCATTGATGTCCCCGTCCATTCTAATAAAGTTTTCTCTCTTCAATGTGAACTCTGAGACAATCTTGGCTAGGTTAAAGTCGCGCTTATTTTTCTTCAAATCTTTCCTTGCTTTTCTGGGTTAAATAACTTCTATAATTCGGTATTAAAATAATGCAGCAAAATTCTTTTAAAATTGCAAGAATGAGCCCTTCAAGAGTTTTAATTAATGTTAACAAGATTTTAATGATGAAATTCAGATCTTTATCTCCAAAGGGAAAATGAATACTTACTTGTCTTGCTCGTCCTCTGTAAAGAAATCTTTTACGAATATTTTAGATGATTTTCTATAAATTAGTTAAGCATAGGTGGATAGATTTAGTAAAAACTAGCAAAATGATTAATTCAGTTGCTATCTAATTAAGGAATTTACAAAGAAATATATGCATATATTCTTCTAAAATGTCCTTATCTTTCCAGTTGTTTACATTTTTCATGTGTTGCTTACACAATATCAAGATAAAGCAATAAAATGGATAAGAATACTTATGCTTTCCTTTCTAATAAATCATTATATAATTATTATAGGAGTAAAACTAAAAACCATCACTAGCCTTATACTCTTAGGATTTAACATTAACTTGCTCATAAATGGTTGATTTACTTACAAATCAGTACCTTCTGGTGCTTCACTCTCCATTTAGAATATAATTATAATTCAATAATATATTAGTGTTGGGGTTTTGGGGTTTTGGGGTTTTGGGGTTTTGGGG